AAAGCGCCTGCCTGGCAAGCGCAAGGTTGTGAGTTTGGTTCTCCGTACCGGAAAAAAAACTAAAAAAAAAAAAAAAGACATGTTTTATACCTTATATTTTCCAAAAACTATAATCAGTTAAAAGTACTAATGTACATTAAGCTATAGTCAAAGATGCATGTTGTAAATATGGTAACAAAATGAACAGCAAAAGAGTTTATAACAATGGAGGGGAAAGGATTAAAAAATAGTAAGTCTAAAAGAGAGAAAAAAACACACAGTGGGTCACACCAATGGGAAAATATGATAAATTTAAACACAAATAGTAACTTTTAGTTAACTATATAAAGACTAAATAAAACACTCATTAACGACACAATTGTCAGAATAAATTCCTTATCCTGATCTTTCAACTCTACATTCTGCCATTTTCTCCGTGGTTCACCATACCAATCTATTCACTTCTCAACTCCTTTAAGTGATTTTCCATTTCAGAGCCTCTAAACACAAAGTTCTCTCTGCCTCAACCTCTTCCTTCTACTGTTTCTTTTCCAGCTACCTTATCAAAAGAAATCAGCCCCACTGTTTTCTCATCCTCTGCCTTTTTTTTCTTCCACGGCACTTTTCACTGAATTGTTTCCCTAACTTTTGTCTGAATACCCTTTTAGAATTGACCTTCATTCAGCCATTGAACTCACAGAATTTAGTTTCTTGTGCTCATATACTGTGGCATATATGTGTGTGCAGTATATGTCATGTGATCCTTCAAAAGCTAGGGGTATGACAATAAACAAGTTCCCTGACCTTGTAGAACCTACTTTCCAATGTAGGGCGCAGTACTCATCTTTTTTGCTTAATCCCACACACTTGGAAGCATGAGATAGTCATTCAAATACTTCTTGCGTGAATGTTTACTGCATTTGCCAGAAACCATACCACGTGACTTACAATGCTTCTTTCATAACACATCCCGGTAAGAGGTAGTGTTGCCATTTCAAGGTGAGAAGACTTCCCCTAAGAGAAGATAAGTAACTCTCATTCAGTCCCACTGCTAATATATGCCAAGGTCAAGCTAGGTACTCTATCTGCAAAATTTTAAAACACCCAGTTTCTAGCGTGGGGAATTACTGATACATTGATAGAAGTTTGCACTGCTAGACGAAGCTAATGGACTGAAAGTATTCTTTTATTTGAGTAAACAAAATGCATCTGGGTTTAGTCTACTGGCTATAGGCCATTTGGCTCTGGCCATTATCTTCAGGTACTAAGCCTTTGGATTTTCCCTTATCATAGCTCCTAGTCCCCAAAATCAGTGTGATTAAGATCACTGAAATCTGTAGCAACACTGTAAGTCACTAGTTGGTACTTCATCTAAATCCCTAATGCCTCTCTTCTTTCCATAAAATGAGCAGAACTCCATGTAAATGTCTAAGACATCTGATACCTCTGAAGCTAAAGTACAGTGTATATAATGTCAAAGGGGAAAGTGTCCATTGCATACTGCTTTCTTTGCACTCACTGCAGACTTCCTCTAAGCCAGCTGCTCTGGGACATCCACAGATCAGACAACGTTCTCAGGTTGGTCATAAATGTTAAGCCAATGAAAAACACTCCACTATGTAGAAGCAAAGGTATCTAAGACAGCCAGGGAAAGTTTCAGCAGGGCAGTTTATAATACCATTACTCTTGCCACTCAAGTCTCATCTCACTGGCATCTTCAGCCCCAACAGTCTAAGTTCCAAAGCAACAGTTCCTAAATCTGGCTGAATCTAGACATGTTAAAAATCCTAGGAGGTGTCACAATATAAATTACTGGCCCTCTCCCCCAGAGATTTGATTCAAAATGTCTGAAGTAAAGTCTAGGGTTTTTAAAAATCTCCTTAAGCCATTCTGAAATATAACCAATTTATGTTGTTCCAGAGAATACCATTTTCTCACTGACTCATTCCAGTGTATCTCCAGACTCATGGTGGACTAAGGGAAACAGAACTAGCTTAATACTTCATACTTTAACTCAGTGGATGCCCGTAATTTCTAATCACATGCTGTTTATTCAGTTTCTGCATTAAAAAGGACTATAACAGGAAAAAATAACACAAATATTCACATTCTTATTGCTTGAAGAGTTAAAATAGGAAAGAGCTCTTCCTCAAATATACTATTCTTTTTTTTTTTTTTTTTTTTTTTGGTTTTCTCCGGTACCAGGAACCGAACTCACGACCTTGCGCATGCCAGGCAGGCGCTTTTGCCGCTGAGCTAAATCCCCAGCCCCCAAATATGCTATTCTATATCAGATGTCTTCTACATAAACTAGCTGAACCTACATTGTCATAGAACAATTCTACTGCCCAGTGTAGTCATGTGTTATAAAGTAAACATGCTCCTATAAAAACTTTTTAAAAGGGTATGAATTTTTGCAGTATTGGAATTATTTAAAAGTTTATTCTATTTTTTAAATTTTGAGGGTTTTTTGTATGTGTGCTAAAGATTTAACCAAGGGCCTCAAGCATGTATTCTATCACTGATCTATGACCTTCATTCTACCTTCATTTTTTTTAGCAGTTGACTGAGTTGTTTGATAATCTGGAATTAACTTTAATAAATATTAAAATCAGCTGGAGGTCTTATAAGACCACAGATTGTTAGGCTCAACTCCAAAGTTTCATATTTCTAGGTCTGGAGGGGAGCCCAAGATTTTACATTTCTAGCAAGTGCTTAGGTAAAGCTGATGCTTCTGGTTCAGGGAAGACACTCTTAAAACTACTGTGTTAAGTCATACCAATTCCACCGAGAACAGGCCACACAGTACGTATCTGACCTGCATTGGAGGTAACATTTCTGTCTTAGTACTGCTTTAATTTATTATTATAGAACCAGGGTAGAGAGAGTCGAAGAAAAAAAGGTAGGCTTTATTTTTGCTAAAAACTAAGCATTTTGTACTCATTGTGCTTATATTCAATCTTGCCCAGAATAGGTAATCTCAACTCCCATGAAATGTAAGCAGAAGACATAAAAACAAGACCAAAAACTGAAAGTAACTAGAAAATAACAGCACACATACCCACCCACAAACACAAATATGCACCATCATCTACCAGATGTGCCTGCAAATATTGGCAAGTTTCCATAAAAGTGTCAGCATACAGATTATTATTTCTCATTAAATAGTGAATTACTGATGACAAATTTGAGGCACTTTTGAAGAACCATAATTTACAGTTCCAAATTTTTTAATTCAGCAAACTGAGATATTCTAATTTGTATCTGTGCCCCCAAATCCCATGTTTTAAATATTGTTAAGGAAGGTAAGATTATACTGTGCTAAAATGGACTGATCCTTTAGAAAGGTAAGGAAATGACCTAGGTTTCAAGAGAATTCAGTATGTTTAGACTTTCTCAAGTTTGCCAAGTTGGTCTTTTGGGCTATGGTAAAGAAGTGCTAAGAAAAACAAAGCAAGAGCTTGTTCTGTCATACTCCTCTTCTTAAGTATTTTCTTCAGATACATTTGTCAGAAAATATGCTAGCTATGAATGACTACCCACTCAGTGCTATGTCTCAGGTATTTTGCTAGAGTTTCATGTAATCCTTTTAAATCCCAATAGTAAGTATAATCTTCAGTTTACAAATGAAGAAATCAAGGCTGAAAGCATATTAAATTCCCCAATATAAAAGCAGTTAAGTATTGATTCAGTATCGAAATTGTGAACTTTTAGGGCAATTATCAACGATACCACAGGCTTCTCAATATAGTGATTCCTATTGAATAGTAATAGGTACCATGGGTTGAGTTTTTATGAATTAGTGATGTGTGTGAACATTATGTCATTCAATCCTCTCAAAGTTGTGAGTTTTCATTTTACTAGGAAAGCATTTCAAGAAACTTGGTAAAAAGTCACACGTGTAAGAGTCAGGACTGAGCACTGCTCTGCCTTCGAAGCTCATGAGGCTGTTCACCAGTACATTTAGTACTCCACAAACCAGCCTTCTATCCAATACTCAATATTTTCAACTTACATGCAAAGAATTAGATACATACTCTGGCTATCATTTATTGACACTATGGTATTTGACCTTTAAATATTTTAATATTAACTTCTAATTTTTACTTTGGCATCCTGTACTGATTCACACAAAGGCTTCATTTAAACATCTCACTATTCCACACCACCACTATCCATTTCCAGAACGTTCTAAATTTAAAAGTAAAACTTAAACCTCCAGAGGCCTCCCTTCAGTCCATCCAGTGACAGCATGCCAAGATTCTAAGGGGTATTGGCTAAATATTGGTTTTTATATTATAATTTGAATAAACTTTTTTGCATTTTCTACCATCACTGATGAAATCAGTTTGTATTAATGACGGAACTACTGAACAGAACCTTCAAACACTACCACACATACATGTACACACACAAAAACACACATAAGGAGAGAGAGACTGACTTGAGGAAAGGTGTACATTTAAAAAACAAACTGCAGTATACGTAAAAGTATTACCTAAACAACTCTTTTAGGATATATTTTGAGACCCTTTATTAGCCTATGGTATTCACACCTAGAATAGGTGGAGAATGTGATACCAATTGAAAACTCTTGTAAATTTTATAGTTAAACTTCTTTCATAAATAAAAACATACAACATTCATGCCACTATTTTTCTTTTTTCACTAAATACTAAAAATTCATGGGTTTGCTAATCACATTATTAGGCTAGAAAGTAAGGGTCAATACAGATTTTCAAGACAGTCAACAAAGAACTAATTTATAGAGCAAGTAAAAAGTTTAGGCAGGCAACAGACTGATGTCTGTGTCACCTGAGAAAATACAAACTATTATAAAACTAGCTCACCTGGTCAAAGTTGTTTTAATACATATATTGAAAAGCATCAGCAAAAGTAGAAATACATACACACTCAAAGTCAAACACTGTTATCCTAATACCTCAAGTAGTTTATTGGTAGTTATTATCCACATTTCTATAAATATAACATTCTAAATAATCATTACTAGTGCAAGTACATTTAACATGAAAGCTCCACAGGAAGCTACTTTATTTTGTGTGTAACAAGAACCAAGTTTCCAAAATTTTAAATTGTGCCATTGGAAAACCAAAAGAACCCAAAACTTAAACCTAAACCAAAGATAAAAACCCAAAACCTGCTAGCAAAGTGCATTTCTCTTGGTGACTTCAGGATAAACAGCTGTTGGCTTTACAAATAGGAAATAAATATATATTTGCCAATATAGGAATACTGGAATTAAATTTCTCCCTGGAAGAATTAAATAAAGATCTTTCCTCCTTGTAAAGTTTTATGTTTATTACAATGGAAACAGCACCAGTGAATCTTCATAAAACAGCTTTCCTACTTCCCCCTTCACGTTCTATAATCATATTTCTTATCTGCAGTACTGTATCATTTCTTCCCATAATCAGGACTGCACAGGCCTAGTAATACTGTTCAGCTGGTAAACAAAAAAATTAAAGCTCAGAACGCATATAGGCATCTTGTATTTTCATTCCACAGCATATCGGGTGTTGTTTTGTAAAGCTTTTGCTCCTCCCAAAATACTACAAAAATATATGAAAAACACATCTGTTTTCAGCCAGCAAATATTAACAAATGTCTTTTAACTAGAGATTATGTATTTATTCTAATTATAGCCTCTTGACTGAATTTAACAATTGCTTTCTTCATAAATCCATATATATCCAAGCATATGTATTTAGAATTAATCTACATGCCCATCTTTACTATACAAGAGTCAAGTAGATTTTAAGTTCTTCATGTGAAAGTGCTTCTGACAACCATTTCTATATTAGCCCCAAATCCCAAAAATGTTTTAAAACTGTATAGGAAGATGCATAGCTATTTCTAAAAAGTAAACTACACACCAAAACATGCTGTGTCAAAACTAGTCCATGCACTTGAAGACACCTCAAACACCTTATTTTTATTAATGTTAGACCAACTTTAGAAAAAAACATTGTCTAGAATTAAGAGACAGCATTGATTCCAGAAAAGGCTAAAAACTATCCAGCCAAAACTTAAAAAAGTAAACACTTCCTCTTGTCCCAGCACAATCAATACAGATCAATGTGTGTGTGTGTGTGTGTGTGTGTTAATCTACCTTAACATTTCCATTCATCAGCATTTTATCTTAACATACAAAGCCTTGTAGGCAATTTTTCTGAAAAGGCTTCCCCCTAAAAGATACAAGCACAAAACACTAACAGACACTCTGCAAAGTTTTATTTCATTAACTTCAGATCAAATTTCCACAACTGTTTTCTGGTCAATCTACTATGCTTGCTTGCCTTCCCAAAGTGGTAGTACCAGAAGACATGGGGTAGGGAGAAGAGACCTCTTGAAGAAGCACTGCATTTGCTCATCTTCCACAAGGAAACGGAGTTGGGCATCTGACTATTCAACAAAACAAAGCTTTAACAGCACCCAGGAGGGCAAACAGGCAACCCGGGCTGCAGACACTCTTGCGTTTGTCAAAATCATACCAGAGGAAACCTACTCCACACAGATATAAAAGGCAGCAATATTCATCTTTTCTTCTTCTGTTGCCGCAACATTTTTCTTCTTTTAATTATCATATCATGCAGTTTCTCCAGTCCTTCTTTTAGTCCATCTCCTATGATTGCACACGTGGGCTGCAAATGCCAAGGAGTTGATGAGCTCAATTCACCCATTGCTAACAATTTCTCAATTTCTGTGAGAGACAGGGAGTTCCTCAGATCTTGTTTGTTAGCAATTATAAGTACAGGGACTCCTTGGTTTTCAGATATCCTAGTTATTTTATGAAGTTCAGTTTTGGCTTCTTCCATCCTTTCAACATCAACCGAGTCCACAACAAACACTATGCCATCTGTGCATCTGGTGTAAGACTTCCATAGGGGCCTTAACTTCTCTTGACCACCTACATCCCAGAAGTGAAAAGTGACTGTTTTAGAATTTCCCAAAGTTACCTTGATTTTCTCAGTGTTAAATCCTTTGGTAGGTACAGTATTTACAAATTCGTTGAACTGCAACCTGTATAAGACTGTTGTTTTTCCAGCACAGTCCAAACCCAGGATAACAATGTGGTAAGACTGAAAGGAAGGCAGGCTGGACAGGATAGACGTCTGGTCTGACAGTCCATTCCCCATTTCCAGGGGCAAGTAAGTGTCACAAACCGAAACACTTTCTTCTGACTGCTTTAGAATTTCTCCTCCTTGCTGATCCAGCTACAAGACAGCTGGGGAAGAAATGGGTAAGTTATTCTTGTGAAATAATACACTAAAGCAAGTCTGCTCTATTTTTCCTAAAAGAGCAACACGAGGAGCTTGATAAAACTTGCTTCAGTAAACAAACCACCTGAGATATGAAACGTACACAATAAAAGACAAACGCTGGAATAACTGCAACCCAAATTCTCTGACTCACTCAAATCGTTACACTGTGTACTTCTGTATACTGCCCTAGGTCGCCAAACCTCAAGAGACCTCATTCTGAAGACAACCCAGTCGCCCGGATTCGGTGCAGGTCACTGTTACCACCGAGGTCCAACCTTCCCACTTATTTTTTTTTTTTTTTTTAATTTCTGGCTGAAAACTCACAGAAGGTAATCTCACCTTGGAGAATCTAGTCCCACATGTTTAACAGCAGACTCAAGATCGCTATTACACGCCCCACCCCACCTCCTAAAATAAAAACGCTCTCACCTCCAAAAGCGGAGTCTGCGTCCCAGTGAGGAAGCATTGGCAGGCGTTTCCCGTGGGAGGGAAGCGCCCCACGTCCGCTCTGCTCAGACCTCCACGCAGCTCTGGCAGTTGCTGCGCTGGAAACCTTGGACTCCGACTCCGGCCACGCCCATTCCTTCCGGCCCACCC